AACTCGCCCTACCCTAACTCGCCCTACCCTAACTCGCCCTACCCTAACTCGCCCTACCCTAACTCGCCTTAACACGCCCTCGCCCTCGCCCGTGCCCTCGCCCTCGCCGCCGGCATGACTTGCTGCGCGCGTGTCTACGACTGCCTCCCCCTTCCTGCCTCCGACCGGAGCTTCTCGAAGTCGGCGACGCCGAACTCCAGTAATTTAATTTCGCTCCCAACGCAGTCGCTACTGAACACTTCCACGAATTGGATCCACGCAGCTGGGATATATTACCTGAAAATCTTGCGTGTTATACGATTCCTTCATATCGGAAATATAGAATGTAGACAAGTTTTTTCTTCCATCATGATTGACTTACGTCGATTGCTTTCAGATACAACTACAAATATGATTGGAACAGTTACAAAAGGAACATGAGTCTTCAGGACTACACTCTAAGAAACGTTTTTGGAAATGGAACTCTTATAACCTTGGAAATGGAACCTTGTAAAGGCCATAGGGACATAAGAGACCAAAAGACTATAATTTTTTGTCATTCCTAAAAATATATTTTTCAACAAAATATACACATTTATTGATGTCAAATATATCAGTTATTTTATCTATTATAACTTTTGAAAACAAACATTAAGGAAAATATTTGTTTTGATCGATTATAATTTATAATTAATACTTTTATAAGAATGAGTAAATGGCTGTCTTTGCTCCATAAAAATACATTTTTAAAATTAAAATTGTTTCAACCTGTCAGGAATTAAACATTATGTACTGATCTGTTAAATAATAATTTCTCTTAGTGAGATATTTTGAACAAACAATTGAAGTATTTGCAATACATCTTTCAATATTATTAATAATATTCGGCCATTATGTTCTTTGAGAAATTTTATGTTGTAATGTACAATTACTAGCTTATTCCTATTTACGTGTATTCGTGATCTCCTGTTAATTGATTTTATTTCTTCTTCTAGGCGAATGCGCCAACTGCGTGGATGAGGGAGTGGGACTGGCGGGCAATCGATGGACTATGCCATTGCTGAAGCTGGGAGAGAAGCGGTACTACCTCGGCATCTTCTTCAAGGTGGGTGACATCACGGTTCAGGAATTGTCTCTCTATCCTTACTCAAGCAAACAGAACTTCTTTCAATATGGTGTTCTCTACGAACTTCAAAATTCATTGTCATTCAAAAAGGCAACATTGTCATTCCTAATTTTGTTTCTTCTTTTTTAAACTATTTTTATTCAACATGAAATGTATTCATTTCATCTTAACATTTCTTATATGGCAGCTATTTGGCCTGCTAAAAATGTATTTCTGTTACGCAAATTCTTAATTCAAAGAAATTTTAAACTTAATGTGTTTGTTCATCCACCCTACACAAAGAAAGTTACAGAAAAAATGTCCATAGAAATTATTTTTTAAACAATATGTTGCTTTACAAAATTCTATTTAATTATTGGTAATCTTAGGAATTAACAGACATCAATGTGGAGAGGATCAATGACAGATAACCCCCCCAAGATTTAATTTAATTAATTAATTAAGATTTAATTTGTGCCACAGCACAAATTTTCCCCTACTACTTCCGCATACCCGTGCGAGAACTCTCGAACCCACACTCTTCCCTATCCTTCTATTTCTTCTAAGAAATATCTTCTAAGAAATTTTCAATAAAGATTTATTCAGTATTATTGAGAGATTTCTTGGAACAATTATAAATACTTTCTTAATAATATTTTAAGTAATTATTCAATATTCTTGGACAGTTATCTTTTCGCTTTTCGTTTTAGTCACAAAAATATTTTTAAAAAAGCTATTTGCTCTTGAGAACGCTACGTGAATGAACACGCTGATTTAAAAGTTTTACTGAATCACTGCTGATAACGAAAATACTGGTACAGGTAAAACACATACCAAATCTAACAAGATACGTCTTCAGTCTTTACTGCAGACCCACATCCATCCACAATTAGATATACAGCACTTGTAAACCTCGGCACAACGTTTAGAGAATAATTTCACGCGTAAATAATCTTCATCGTAATCAAGCAAATATTAATAGTACTTGTATTTGGTACGAGAGCAATTTGGGAATTAATAATTATGCATATAAATGTCATCGTTCTGAACAAACCACGGTGTACACAGAAAGCGTAAGATAGAGAAATTTAAGCCTTCTATGCGTGATACCACAAAGATGGTCATCACCAAGGGTTGAAATATAGGTGGTATTGGTAGTATCGATAAGTGCCGAATCAGCAAAAATTTAATAGAATGTCCGAGAATATCTCATCGTGTAGATTACGTTGTGATGAATGTTTCTTCGAGGCGACCTCAAAATTGTAGTTTTTTAAGGTCCTAGAACGCTTCGTTTAGAAGTTATTAAACGATATAGCTATCACAGTGCTGCGAGATGCATTTGACATGAATATTTGGATGAGTTTGTTTTAACAAATCCGTCATATTTGTAATGTCAAAGCGCAATTCATCACGTCTCTGTGAAATTCTCTTTCTTTAGAGACCTCTTTTATAAAGATCAGTTTAGTGTGAGCGCCGCAAATTGTATGTACACTACTGAAATAATATAGCAGACGATAAAAGCGTGCACAAAAAAATATTAGGACACGTATAGCGTGCTAAAAGTCCAATTGTTAGCACTAGTGTTAAAAGTGAGACGATGCTCAAATGTTACTATTAAACTGTAAATGCAACAAAGAAAAAAATGCTTTCGTCTAACCGCATCAGCTACGACTTTTGCTAAAGACTACTAGCTTTTGGTAAAATAGTACCAACAGTTTCTAATAAAAGAAGATTTCTTATTAAAACCTTCAATACCTTTGAGCAGGATGGTATAATGGTATAACTGGGATGAATATATCCCGATTACCAGTTCGCGAGCGCCCTTTCAGAGGGCCCTGTCACCGTGGCCGGCGCATCGCGCCCGCCCTAGAGCTTTGCTGGCTTAGCCTTAAGCCGGAGCTTCTCGCTGGGGCCCCGGCAGGCGCCTCGTCCTGACCGCCCCTCCCCCACCCTCCCCCACCCCATCTCTCGATTTGCGTCAAGGGGCCGGCGCTTGAGCGCTGCGGTTCAGAGCGTTCGTCAAGGAGGCTACGAAATTACGCGAAATAACTTTGCACAGGAATACTTCACGAACATTTACAACCTCAACTTCAAACGATGTTGCTTCCTATTTTGTATTGGCGAAGAACTTATTTGTTTCTCGTTTTTCCTCAATCATATAGGAATATTATTACTGCCTAGAAAAATTCGTTATGTTGTACCTGCATTGAACTCAAATGTATATGTATGTTTTCGAAACTTGTAAACGGTCTTCTTTACTTTGAGTAAAATTCGTATTCGATTTGATACTCAATCCAGTCACATGTCGTTTTTACAAGAAAATTTCCGAGAACCGTTTCTATTTCTGTTGTTTGATTCTGTTCGAATCATTCCGTTCTTCCTGTAGAAATTGGACATTTGAGATACACTTTAGAGATGCATTGCTACTAGACAATCTAAACATACTTTTTTCATTTTAGTTTAATTGAGCTACAATGTGGTATGTGAGATTGAATTTTGCTTAACCTGATATTCTCCTCGTGATCGCTAAGAAATTGCTGATGTCTAATTTGCAGGCAATGGAAACGTAATCACTACCTCCACGACTCCTGTATCCTTGGGGATTTTTGAATTTGGAACCATTGGGACTCTCAATGCAACCTACTAATTTGTCTTTTCCATGTCTGTCACCAGGAACCTACACAATGGCCTCAGTTATATTTATTGGTTATTTGCATCGTTTCCTGATAAAGCGAATGCGTAATCTAATAAGAATATACGTTGTCGAAACATTTTATTTTGCCGTGCCTTTCGCTAGGGTTTTTTACATTCCACAAACGTGGCAATACACACTGTAGATTTCCCTATCTTTTAGCTACCCAAGCCGAGCGTTGAACGGCGAAAACGGGTTTTGAAGGAGTGTGCTAACCCTCATACCACTGGGGCCGGGTTGATGAAATAGTTTTATCCAGCTTCACTCTTCTTAAGTTATTGTTTACATTTGCAAATGGTAGCTACAATGTTTGGGTGCGCAATAAAAATGTTTGTATTAAATAAAATAGGTCAAGCCTTGGAATTTCATCACAAAAAGAAGAACTAGAAAAGTTACAACAGGAAAGTGCTTTATATGCACTATATGGAAAATAAAAAATGCCAAAAATGTTGATTGATGTCGTTCAGTTCATTCTTCAAAACTGTCGAAATGAGATACAAATTCTGGAACAATACAATCACTATTCATTGTGAATACAGTGTTAAATACGTTTCTCACAATGTATTTGAAATGCTCGTATTTACCAAGAGCTTGACTCGTATGACATATTGTACAATTGTAGGATATCCTGCAATCCACCTTTACTTATGAACGTTATGCACCACCAATAATTAAAATCACTGAATTGTTTTGTAAAGGTATACATGTGTCTCACAATTGCTGGCCATTACGTTTGTGTAGATTTACTAATATTTGCATTTAAAAAGTCAATCTTCGAACTTAAAAACTTTTTTTCTTTATCAACTATAACCTAATAATGCAAGGAAACAAAACGTCCAAGACAAACTACAATGGTCTTAAATATAATGTTATAAAGCGATAACGCAAAATAAGCGTTCAATCTAATACCTTCATTATAGAGTTAACACATGTACAGTACTCTACCTCTCATTACAAGAAAAAAACACAAAATATGGGTGAGTAGAATTCTCAAACGTATTTCTAAATGAAAACAATTTGTGTTTAAAATATAAGGATTTTCCTTTGCTCAGAACAACCCAATGAGGTTTACAAAAGAGTTGTTATGACGTACGGGTATATAACATTTTTTTCTTATTTTTTTTTTCTAAAAAATCGACGCTTGTAAGTCAGCCATGTGGACACATTTAAAAAGATTTTGCCGACAAGGAGAGGGCAGCATTTGGGAGGAAGCGTAGGTTTAGTTCGGAGAATTCTCAGTTACAACGTTTCGCCCTGATATCAAGTGGGAGAATTCGTGCGTCGGATCAAATGCAGCATTAAATTGCAAAACTCCGACAGTACACTTCTGTTTCTAAAGCTGCAAAATACATAACACTGTCAGGCAATATCATGTTGAGCCGTAATGCACTAAACTCGTAACAGACAAAAGAACTCTGTGTCCCATTAGCACGTAACTTTTACGGCCCTCCCACGGCGTATGACGTCATTCGGGAACTGCGTGTCCTGTCCCGCTTGTTGCGACGAGGCCCACGCGAACACAGGCGCAGTCTGGCCAAGCGGTGCCGGGCGTGCCGGGGCGAGGCGGGGCGGGGCGGGGTGGGGCGGTCCCGGCGAGGGCCTTCGCGGGTGCCACTCCGGGTGTCGTGCTCTGGGGCCACGCCCATCGCGGAGGGCGGGGTGCGATCCTATCAGCCGCGCCCCCGCCTCCCACCTGCGCTCGGGGCCTCGACAGCACCTTGTGTCCGCGCCACGCGCCGCGCCGGCGAGCTTGCAACGGCGCCGGAACTCCTGCAGTATCGCGCTGCCTGTCCAAATAAAGAAAACCCGACTACGCCAAAGATTGCTTCGACACTTTCGTGGATAATTTCTTTGGTGATTCATCGAACCTTACGAGCCAGATAAACTATTCTACTGATATTACACACCAGACAAATTTCTGATTGAGTTTTTATGGCGGAGAGGCGGGGAGTTTTACAGTGATTTTTGACATTTACCTCTGATGCGAATAAAATCCAATGATTGGCTAAGAACTTTTTTCTGCAGTCTCCATATTCCGACACAGAGATCAACACACATATTCCCATTGTCTGTAAATATATTTATGAACTACCCTGAAATTATTTTAAAGCGAAAAGGTTCTTAACGAACTTAATTATGAAATATTTTCAACCCAATCGTAAAATATGTTACTTGTCTGCGAGAATAAGTAGAGTGTAGGAAGGGCGGTGATCACGCAACTGTTAACTAACTAGGTGTCTGTTCGGAAGTTGCATTTGATTCAGGCGACCAAGTAGTAGGAGCTGGTGGTTGCGTTTCACCATGTCATTATTCTGACCTCTGCTCCCGCTGTTCCAGGCCAACTGGTACCGCGCGGCCCAGTACTGCCGCTACCACGGCATGCATTTGGCCAGCATCAACAGCCAGGAGGAGAACGACAAGCTGGAGAAGCACATCCGTGACTTCGGTGGGTATCTCATGGACGGTAGCCTTTTGTACACCTAGAGTTACTCAATTCTGTGAATAGTGCATTTATAGTTATTGCATTGCACACAACCTATGTACTAATACTTTTTTTAAAGTAAAAAATCTAAAATGAAAATTGTTATATATTATACAACAAAAGTCTCTCAACAGGAATTATTGAAGTTATGACAATATGTTATGTAGTGTCACGATGGCTTATTTCATTACATAACGTTTCTTTGGTTTATATCGAAAATTGTTTTATTTAAAATTGAAATTGTATTAATGACAATTGAAGATGCATTTGTTAAATGAGCTTGGAAAACCTTTGTAATGTTCATAGCTATTTCATTGCGGAACTATATAAATCATTTATCAATCATCAAAAAATAATAAGAAACCGTGCAATTTATAAGCGTTTTAGAAGTATGAAGTATAAAATATCATGTATTTAAATATTATTATATGGTTAATCTTATGTTAATAAGCAAGTGGTTGTCTTTTCTGTTTGAGAATTTTCTTCTCTGTTCAAATTTAGCAATTAGACCTATAAAATCGCATAACTTTTAAGTTCGTTTTGTTAATTTACTACACGTTCGTTTACGTTCTAAATCGTTCTGGTCAGATTATGGATTAGTTGTTCAAGGAGATGTTCACACTTACCTTAGTTCAGTATTCATAACTACGAGAGCGTCTTGGAATTATTCTTTTAAGAGGATACAATAAAGTTATCCTTAGATTATCAAATATTTTTATATAAATTTCATTTTGATGTTAAGATTTCATTTTGATTATCCAGCTTATGAAGATGAAAGTAGGAATTAGAGATTTTTCACGTTGCGGCCTGCTTTGTATTCATGAAGAGATTCGGCGAAAATGACATTGAGTCTTGGTTTTGTGTAAGTCTATCAGAAAGAGCGGTATTTAACACATTTACTTGGCGAATTAATTTCATTTTTTACATCGCCACAAAATATTTGAACATAAATTTAAAAAAAAATGATAAAAAATGGTAATTTATTCTGATGATATGTAATTTATAGTCGTTTGGAGAATAAAGGAAATGTTTAGACACGTTTACAATTGAGCGTGATTATTTTGTTTAATTAATTATTTGTCTCAACTGTAAGAGAAAAATAAAAAAATAAAACTTCAGAAGTGCATTTAAATTTACAGTAAATTGTAAGATAAAACTGGTCAAATGTAATGATCAGTAAGTCTGGTTTAATAACATTACTTCTTTGGCCAATAATATTTTAGACATACATTTTCAAACATAAAATATGTATTCATAAAAAGTAATTAACACATTGTACTTTCATAAATATTAATCAACAATTTACGTTTATAACAATTCCTTCTTTGATGTATCGGGATCGAGTTGTGGTCCCATCTTCAGACTTCAAGATTTTCTACCACCAGTATGCAATATGCAATATGTTTTTTCTATAACCAATATGCAAAATAATGTTTTCTTTTTAATTTGTGTGAAGTACAAATATAAATAAGTTTAATAGTTAAATACGTATGTTACTAAATAAATTTTATTGAGTGCCACAATACAAAATATGTTTAATTCGTTGGCCAAAATAATTTTAAAATATCTTGAGTATGTGATGTGAATAATGGAAATAATGAAATTTTATTACCAGTTTATTTTTAATCTTATATGTTGTATTTTTCAATTAATAATGTGTAGTACGTCAACCCTTGAGAATGAATATCCAACAGCACGAATACCCTGACCGAGGATGTTGTGTGTGCGCAGGGCTGGGCAACGAGCACTTCTGGACGTCGGGCACCGACCAGGCGGAGGAGGGCGTGTTCTTCTGGATGTCGACGGGGCGGCCCATCACGTTCGAGAACTGGAACGCGGGCGAGCCCAACAATTTCCGCTACGAGAACGGCGAGGAGGAGCACTGCATGGAGCTGTGGAACCGCGACGGCAAGGGCCTCAAGTGGAACGACTCCCCGTGTTCCTTCGAGACTTTCTTTGTGTGCGAGGTGCAGTGAGGGCGGAGGCGCAGGTCGCCTCGCGCCCCTCACACGGACTCTGCGCGCCCGCCACACGCGGC